TAAGACATAAGACATAAGACATAAGAAATTTATTTGTCATTGCGCTCACAAGTGGGTGCAACGAAATGAGGTGCTCTTCCCCAAGGTAAAACTGGACAACACTACAAAAAAAAGTTAAAATATACACAACTTTCACCATCCAAATATAGATACCCCGTTTTCTCTCAGCAATTAAAATTCCACCAAAAACCTATGGCCCCGCATTTAAACTCAATACTGCACTTGGGTAAAAACTGTTCTTGAATCTGCTTGTCCTTGCTTTCAATACCCTGAATCTCCTTCCTGATGGTAATAGTTTAAAGAGCTGATATCCCGGATGAGAGGAGTCTTTCAGTATGTTAGATATCTTCCTCTTACATCTGTTCTTATACAATTCTTCCAAAGAGAGGAGTGAACAGCCAATGATGTTTTGGGCCGTCTTAATCACCCTTTGAATTGCCTTTTTCTCTGCCACTGTGCAGCTCGTGAAAATCAGGAAAATCATCTTAACTGTTGGAGCAGTATGACGATAGAACCCATGACCGGGAGGCAGAGAGCCCTCCAACACTGGAGGCCTTCAAGAGAAAATGGGACCACCTTCTGTCTGATCTGCTCTGATTCAGATTCCTCCCTTGAGCAGGACTCGACGGCCTTAGAGGTCCCTTCCAATTCCATGATTCTATGGTTCTACACGACTGACAAAACCTATCTAGGTCTTTGCACCTTGGTGAAGGTGTATCATTTCCTCCATGGGGTCTGGGAAGCACCCCGAGGGACATGTGGAACTTACCACCATTGGTTACTTACTTTGAGAAGTGGTGCCGTCGAAGCAATAGCTGCCGCCGTGGCAGCTGCAATGGTTGTAACTGAATCCACTTCGCTTTGGGTTGACCTGGTGCTGTCCTTTTTGTCTGGACATGCATGATCTAGAAGCTGCACCTTCACTTCTTTAAACACAGGAGCATTCTGAATTCTAAACAGGCAGACATGCATTGGTGTGTGGTTCAATCTTTTCCAGGCAATTTTTTTCCCTAGATCTTTTTGACACCTGTTGGTTGCAGTCCTCTCTGCTACACAAGCCCAGGAGTTAAGTTTCTGTCTGCTCCTCTCTGGTAAACAAAGCGATGCTGATGCGATTCTTGGGGACCTGCCCTCAGGCACCTCCTCCAAGAATCCGAGCAGGAGCACCAGGGAGAAACAGACAGAAACTTAAACCTTGGGCTTCGGCTGCAAATAGGAGTTCAGCCAATCTCTGTGACCATTAGTCCATAACTCTTCTTTTTTTTTTAAGTTTATTTTTGAATTTCCAAAACAAAAGCAAATACAAGAATACAAAACACTTACTAATACAATCTAAACCACAGTGCACCCCCATACCCACAGAACCCTTTGGAGCAATACTTTTAATACGAACCTCTTTTCCAAATTGTATCGATTCTTGTTCAGAGGCTTTCCCCTTTCCTTTCACTAATACAAATTCAATAAATCTACCCCAAATAGCATTAAAAATATTTGAACTTATTTCCCCTCTTTTCATCCTAAGTTCAGTAGTCAATTTATTATTTAATGCAATGTCCCATACTTCATTATAACAATCTTCTAATTTAATATTATTTTTATCTTTCCAGAATCTAGCTATTAATAGTCTAGTCCATAACTAGGCAGAGAAAGCTATCTTACATAGGACCAGACCCAACACCAAGAAAAAAGTCAAATCATTTCTTGGGTTGGTGGGCTATTACAGAAAATTCATCCCGAGGTTTAGCGAGATAGCGACTCCGCTGACCGGAGTAACATAATGATGTTCACTCTGACTGACAACAGCTCTCCACAGTCCGAAGCTAGGAAACCTTTTTCATCAGCAGCCGCTTAATCCTTCTTTGGAGAAGTTCCAGAGATTGGTGGCGGGACCTTCTGCATACAATGCACATCGAAGGAACACATGCCAAGGCTCCTTCCCACATTAAAAACTCTTCTGATACTACAACTTTCATCCAGTGGCCAGGTGAAATATATTTATTTTCAAAGACTCTCCTTGGATCAAGTTCAGTGGTCAGATAAAAGCCTGAGTGATGGACATTAAAAATGCACTACACTGGAGAGTGTCCTGGAGAAACAGCGGCTTCACAGTAACATAAGCAAGTATCAAAAAGGCAGACTCAGCCAACCAAAGTAAGGTTTATCCTCTCAAAATTTATTGTTGTTTAGTCGTTAAGTCGTGTCCGACTCTTCATGACCCCATGGACCAGAGCACGCCAGGCCCTTCTGTCTTCCACTGCCTCCCAGAGTTGTGTCAGATTCATGGTGGTTGCTTCGATGATTCTGTCCAGCCACCTCGTCCTCTGTCATCCCCTTCTCCTCTTGCCTTCACACTTTCCCAACATCAGGGTCTTTTCCAGGGAGTCTTCTCTTCTCACGAGATGGCCAAAGGATTGGAGCCTCAGCTTCAGGATCTGTCCTTCCAGTGAGCACTCAGGGTTGACCTCTCAAGATTATGTGTTTGTAAACATATGCATAAACGAGACCATCAACCCGCAGTAACCCTTACCGCTGCTTGAACACGGCTCTTACTGCCTCCTTCTGACCGGCATCATACTGGGAGATAAAAATATCAGCTCCTGTAGAACAAAAAAACCAAAACATTATACTCAGCAAGATGTTCCTTAAACGCAAATGAAAGCAAAGGCCAACTCATCATCAAAAGATCTATAAGCGGAGAGGCCGGACTGGAGTCCACATGCCACCTTGACCGACTCCAACCTTACATGGAACTCCAAGACAGAAATGGGAATTCCCAAGTTTCATCAGATTCCAGGATTTCTCTGACACTAGGTCTCAAATCGAAGCCTGAAGGTGACTACGAATCACAGGGCTAGGAACTTCACACTTTGCTTCCAAATTCAAGATTTTCCACTCTTCTTAGAAGGCGCCCTAAAGCTTAGGAGGAGTTCCCAGGGAAGCAGGAGAATGAAAAGACACACGAAAGAGAAACGTACGCTTCCTCCATTCCAGCCCTGGGACTCCTCACAGGACTGGAAACTCTCAGTGAACTGAAAGTACCCTTCTAATCCTGGCAGGCAAATTTTGAATCTAGAGAACTAGGAATAGAGGAAGCTTCCTGATATTAAGTCCGACCTCTGGCCCATCTAGCCCACTGTATTTCTGGCACTAACTAGCAGCAGCAAATCAGGTTTTTCAGCAGGACTGTTTCTCAGCCCAAACGGAGACTCTTGTCTCTCCCTAGAGGTTTTTCAATTAAGTGCCCATCAGGTTCAGCACGGCTTAGCTTCCAAAACAAGAAAAGAACTACTTTATGTTGTAAGCCGCCCCAAGTAGACATGGTCTAGAGGGGCGGGGTATAAATTTAATAAATAAATAAATACAATACAATAAATACTCTATTGAGGATGGCATAACAGCACATAGTTTTCCCACTGATTTAATCAAATCAGGGAAAGAAAAAAATCATGAGCCTCAAAGTCTGTGCAGCTTGCCATTTATTGCTCCACTTCACAGACATGTGGTACATTCCTCTACTCCACGTGACAACTTAAGCAAACCCTGCCCGAAGAGAAATCAGGCCTCTAGCCGACATCCTGCTTCAAGTTCCCCTGGTTCAAGTCTTGAAAAACACAGACTACTGTGTGTATATATACAGAATATACCACGTCACAAAAAAAAACAATTATCAAAGTTTATTCTGGTGGTTGATCCAGATTCCATCTGGCTCGCAAAGAGAAATGTGGGAAACAAAGGTAAAAAAAAATCAATAAATAAAAGTTGGGACTAAGCCGTGCACATTTACCTGGGAGTATGCTCCACCTTGGGTAACCAGTGTGGTGGAGAGGACAGAGTTGTGGACTGGGACTAGAGAAGGGGTCTTTGTCAGTGGGTACCCAGTGTGGTGGAGAGAACAGAGTCATGGACTGGGACTAGAGATGGGGTCTTTCTACTCATAAACCAATATGAATATCCCGGATTTGGGGGGGCCTGGATCCCCAAGCCAGCCTCCCAGAACCTAGACGGGGTGGGAGGGCGGGTCCTCCTGCACAGCTGCCGAGTGGGCAGAAGGGCAAGAAAGGAGCGCCAGCCAGGTTTCGTCGGAGATTGCTGCATGAAACAGGACGCCAGTCCCACCCACTGCGCCGCAACCCATAAATGGACAAGTCAGTTCTGCGAGGCAGGCCCGGGGATCCAGGCCACCTGGATGTGGGATATTCGTGTTTATTTACGAATACAAACATCCCATCTCTAACTAGGACTCAGGAGACCCGAGTTCAAATCTGTACCCAGTCATAGGAAACTCACTGGGAGTGTAGAATCGGCAAAGCCACTCCTTAAATATCTCACTTGCTTTGGAAAAAAATCCAATGAGGTTTACTTTAAAGCAATTCTAACTTGATCGCAAGCTCCAGTTACAGTGAGCTTGGTTTCAGAAAAATGCCCACAAGACTTTTGGGCAAATACTCTTACCTTTTTGTTTACTCGAATCCTCTCTCACTTGCGAAGGAACATTTCCTGCAGCTTCCTGAGAGTAAGCCTGTGTTGTGGGGAAGAAGAATGAAAGACGACTGTATGTCAGTTGTCGAATATAGTCATGTCATACTTAATTGAAGAAGAGCAACTTTCTGTATGGGATAGAAAGTATCTAGAAGCAAAGAAGGCTTCTAGTATCTTGACCCTAAGAAATATATTGTGACATAAGCTTGCACTACAACAGAGCTTTTAGTTTTGAATCTATGTTTACACTCTTTTGCAGTATTCACTGTTTCTTAAATACCTGCTCCATGCCATATACAGAAAGTTTAACACAACTTTTCAGAAAGAAAGAAGTAATCATATGAGCCATTCATAGAAACAGAATCCTAAATTGGGTAACCCTGTTACTCAACCTTGAAAAAGTTCAAAGGCAACAAGCTTTCCAGAATTTTTCATCAGTTTTTTCAAACTATTTCCTACTATCCTTACCCACACATTAAACCATCCTGCCTTAATAAAAAAGGTCTCATGGTTTGCAAAAACTTCTCAATCACATTCCACGCAGAAAGTAGAATTGGGCTCCTTTTGAGAGAAGTGGGGCAGAAATAGCAAATATATCAGTATACCATACACTAGTAGGGACGTGGTGACACTGCAGATTAAATCGCAGGAGCCTCTGTGCTGCAAGGTCAGAAGACCAAGCAGTCGTAAGAGCGAATCCACGCGATGGAGGGAGCTTCCGTCGCTTGACCCAACTCCTCGCCAACCTAGCAGTTCGAAGGCATGTAAAAATGCGAGTAGATAAATAGATACCACCTCGGTGGGAAGGTCACGGTGTTCTGTGTCTAGTTGCGCTGGCCACGTGACCACGGAAACTGTCTATGGACAAATGCTGGCTCTACGGCTTGGAGATGAGGATGAGCACCGTCCCCTAGAGTCAGACATGACTGGACTCAATGCCAAGGGGAACCGGAACCTTTACCTTTACCTTACCATACACTAATTGGTGCAGTAAAACAAAGTTAATAAATAAATAAATAAAAATAAATATAAAATAGATGCACTTCAAAGAGCAATGGGGAACATAGAATACTCAAAGCTCCCAGTGCAACTGCTATGCTACCCTGCTTCCCTGAAAATAAGATAGTGCAACTGCTATGCTACCCTGTTTCCCTGAAAATAAAACAGGGTCTTATATTAATTTTTGCTCCAAAAAATGCACTACGGCTTATTTTTGAGGGATGTTCTATTTTTTTCATGTGCAGCCATCTACATTTATTCAAAGAGTCCTGTCATCTTCTTCTTGTTGCTGCACAATGGTAGAGGGCAGAGGTTCATTTAATGGGGGCTTATTTTTGGGGTAGGGCTTATACGACGAGCATCCTGAAAAATCCTACTAAGGCTTATTTCCAGGTTAGGTCTTATTTTCAGGGAAACTGGGTATTGCCATATTTACAGCCTCAGTTTAAACAGAAAGCCTTTAGAACGAAGTACAGAAAAATTCAAATATGAGACAGCAAGGTTCAAAAAGGGCTGGGAAACTAATGAAGTGTGGTTAGAATGGTTTTCTGTCAATTATGGATTTCAAGACTTGGGGGTAAAAATCAAAACTTTGTTGATATTGCAGAACTGGTGGAAAAGACCTAGAATCGTAGTGGTTCTTCCAGAAACCACAAGCAGAGTTTATCAAATGGGGACACAGGGCCAGGGTTCAGATATTTGGGTCACTCAAACTTAACCATACGAAAATGAGCAGATAAAATATAATCTGAGGACTGAAGAATATAAATCCATTCGATTTACCTCTGAAGGTACCTGCGAAGGCTGTCCATCTTTTTCAGGTGATGGCAGCTGCTCTGAATATCTGTCCGTGCTTTGGTTCAGATCCCCTAGAGAAGAAATGTTGATTTACTTTATTATAATCATCAAGATTAATTTATGAAAGCAATAGCTATCCTCTTCTGATTTGGACGATTACCTCTCCATGCATACACTTTGTTAATATCTACAAGACAAGTCGCACATAATAGGCTAAAGAAAAAATTAGCTATTTCATCCACTGTTTTATTACAAGCTATTATAACATATACAGAGGAATTAGGAACACAACAGACAGTACCTGTTGCATGCCACGTCACACGAACCAGATACTGGCTGTAGTGATTTATAAACTTGGGGCAATTTGCCTCCAAAAGTTATGCCATTTGCATTATACCAGTGTAACTACGCAAGAGGATTCTGGCAAACTTCAGATCGTAACAGAAGGGTTTCCCCCCCCAAGTACCTCTGTCTCAGGACTCGTGCAGAAAGCTGCAACTAGAATATGCCTATTTGAATAAATGCAACTGACTCACCAAATATCCACTGGTTCAAAGGCCTGACTGTGGTGCAAATTTCTAGAGTAAGCAACAAGAGTTTACCCTCTGTCCCTCAAAGAAGCAAGCCCACTTTTTCAGTTGCGGCACCCCAAAACTCTGGAATACCTTACGGAAGGTGACACTAGCAAAAATATCACAACATGGCAACTCAAGCTAGTTTTGATCACCGAGGCATTTCAAATGATTCTAATTTTTTTTAATCTACTGCTCCTCTTTGCTTTGGCATGTTTTCTCTGGCTCCACTTACATTTTTACGTTTTCATTTACCTTTGTCCACTAATTTGGAGTCCATAAGTACAAATGGCAGTTTTAAAAATCTGTTCAGGGCACTAGGTAGAAGCCAGTCTCCCTAGTGCTGACCTGCTTCAACAGCCAATCTGATTTACAGTGGTGCCTCGCATAACGAGCGCACCGTTTAAGGACGAATTCGCACAGCGATCCGTTTTTTGGGATCGTTAATGCGATCGCATACCGATGGTCCCAATGGGCAAAATTCGCATTGCAACGATCGTTAAGCGTTTCACTTACCGATCTTTGCGTTGCGATGTCGGGGGAACAGCTGAACGGCGGTTCCAAAATGGCCGCCGGAAGACCCAAAATGGCCGCGCGCAGCGTTTTTGCGCCCTACCCTCGCTTACGGAGGGCGCGAAAATGCCTGCGCTATGGAGGAACATCGCTGAACGGTGAGTTTGGGGCCCATTGGAACGCATTAAACAAAGTTTAATGTGTTCCAATGGGTTTTTCTATTCTGTTTAGTGATGTTTCCGAATAGCGATGGTTAATCCGGAACGGATTAACCTCGCTATGCGGGGCACCACTGTATATCCAAGAGCTAATGTGGCCCTAAGGCCCAGGGGGCCCTCGTCCAAAGAGTTGAGAGTACAGGAAAGACAAAAGAAACAGAAAATCCCAACGGAAAATGTTTGCTACACTGCTTAGAGGGCATTTCCTGAGCAGCGTAGATTGCAATGTATTAACATCAAGGGAGCACACATTTTGCAAGAAACATTATATGTGTAAAGCAAACCGAACTGTGCTGCTTCTATAACTTCCCACAGTGCTTAATCTCTCTCTGGGTGGTTTACTATTTAATTATGCATGCTCTTCCAGTAAGCAGGGTAAAGGCTGAGTCATTCTCAAACCAGCTGCCTGAGCCTAGAAATGAACTCAAACCTCCAGTAAGCAGGGTAAAGGCTGAGTCAGTCTCAAATCAGCTGCCTGAGCCTAGAAATGAACTCAAATTGTGAGCAGAGCCTAAACAGCAGTTGTTGTTGTTTAGTCGTAAAGTTGTGTTCGACTCTTTGTGACCCCATGGACCAGAGCATGCCAGGCCCTCCTATCTTCCACTGCCTCCCGGAGTTGGGTCAAATTTATGCTGGTAGCTCCGCTGACACTGTACAGCCATCTCGTCCTCTGTCGTCCCCTTCTCCTCTTTCCTTTACACTTTCCTAACATCAGGGTCTTTACCAGGGAGTCCTCATCAGATGGCCAAAGTATTGGAGCCTCAGCTCCAGGATCTGTCCACTGAGGGTTAATTTCCTTCAGAATGGATAGGTTCATGTTTTATAAAGATGGGTGATATTAATAGTATACCTGTAACTATCATGTATTTAACTGGTGTTACTATGATGCAGATTGCTCAGCTTCAAAAGATTTTTGGTATGTTGTTCTGACTTATGTTGCCTCACAGCACTTAGAGCACACTCTGGCCAGTTTACAACATAAGTACTGCAATTTAACTATCGCACCACAAGGCTCCTTTACTAGCTATGTCTTGTAAAGATGGGTGATAAACTGTTGTACATACCTGTAACTATCATGTATTTAACTGGTGTCACTATGATGCAGATTGCTCACCATCAAAAGTTTTTTGGTGATGTTGTTCTGATTTATATTGTCTCACAGCACTCAGAGCACACTCTGGCCAGTTTACAACATAATTATGCAAACAAAAACTCCCCCCTCCCAGCAAGCTGAGTACAGTGGTGCCTCGCTTAGCGATGTTAATCCGTGCAGCAAAAATCGCTGCTAAGCGATAACATAGCTAAGCAATTTTAAAAAGCCCATAGAAAGTGTTTATTGCGTTCCTATGGGCTTCCAAACTAACCTTAAGTAAAATCCTCCATTGCGGCGGCCATTTTCAGTGCCTCTAAAGCGAGGCAACACAGCGGGCGGCCATTTTATTTACCCGGCGGCCATCTTGGAACCACCGATCAGCTGGCCGAAAATGGGGGCTTTGCGATGATCGCTTCCCCGCGATCATCGCAAAGCGAATTTTCCCCATAGGAAACATCCCGGCAGCCATTTTGGAACTGCTGATCAGCTGGCCAAAAATGGGGACTTTGCGATGATCGCTTCCCCGCGATCATCGCAAAGCGAATTTTCCCCATAGGAAACATTGCTAAGCGATCGCTCTTGTGATCGCAAAAACAGCGTCGCTAAGCTATTTTGTTGCTATACGGAGCGATCGCTAAGCGAGGCACCACTGTATTTTTACCCTTCTCAGGAAGGCTGGAAGGCTGAGTGAGCCTTGAGCTGGCTACCAAAACCCATTAGGATCAAACTCAGGGTGTGAGCAGAGTCTTGACTGCAGTGCTGCAGATAAACCATTGTGCCAAGGGGAAATGTGCAGCAGTATAAACATACCCTGTACGTCTCCTGCAGAAGTTGAGGTTGACGCTTTATGAAACATAGGTTTGTTTCCCAACAATGCTGGTGGAATATAAGCTGTGCCATCCTTAGTCAATGTCAAAGTCCCTGGCAAATGAGGAGGAGGAACCTCCCGAAGCTTCTTCACTGAAATGGACACCTTTTTCCTACCGCAGGGAGCACCTTTGCTGTCAGCAGGTGCTCCTGTCTGAGCGTCAAGGGGCTTTTTTTTCATGTGGATGCTGGTGGAGCCGATAAGGACGTCCTCAGCAGTGAGGCTAGCCAAAGAATCCTCACTCAAATTAGCAGTTCCTTCCCCTTCCATGAACAGCACATAGCATCGCTTCCAGTTCTGGCTTCTGTTAAATGAAACAAAATATTAGCTGACATACAGTTACAGATAAAAGAAGGAAGGAAGGGTTTAACTTAAGTAGGATTGAGATACCTATTTATTAATGTGACCACAATAAAACACAGAACATAGTTGATTTTGTAATCTCCCATCATAAAAATTGACACAAAAGACTAACGCAAAAGCACACCCTCAGGCACAAAGGCAGATCTTGTTTACAGATAATGCAAGAACAAACATGGATGAGATTTTCCTTAATGAATCCATTCTAGAAAAATGTCTGATCTAGCCAACTTGCCTGCAAGGCTCACAACTTTCTCCCAAGCCACCTTATACCCACTACGGTACCGTTCCTCACATGACATGCAAGTAAGAGATCAGGTTTTTTTAAAGTAATGTACAGACCACTCAAAGCCATACATCTATATAATCATCCATGGCAAAGTATATTCTGTAACAAAGTTATGAATAGAAATATGGAAGTTCTCTACCCTTCTCCCCCTTCTGTGTAACCTCAAATAACTTTCATAGGACGTAATAGAGACGAGCCACTGTCCACCCATTCCAGGGATACCTGGTTGGTTAAATCTTTTCAAACAAGGACAGGGTGCTTTATTTTTTTGTGAAAGTGCCCCAAACACACATCATTCTGGCAAACATAAGGGGTACTAGACACCCAAATACCTTGGAATGCAACCATTTTCAACATTTCAGAATTTAAGGACTTCCTTGCATCAAATAACTGATGTTTGTTGATTGCAACAATCATTTCCTTGTACAACCACATGAAGGTGTCAGTCCCAGCTTTCAGTACTCCATGTGCACCATTCAAAAAGGTATACTGTACTGATTCTGTATCATTCCATAACAAGGGCTGTGCAATTAACAGATTTCTCTGCCATCAAAGGTGCATTGAGACCCACATAAGCCGGTGGCTGCAGACACATTACCGGGCAAATGAACAGACTGCTCCCTCAATATTGTTGTCCCGTCCCCGGGTTTTAAAAACGGCTCCCAAATCGTTTTGACCACCAGCCCAGCTACAGACAATTCAGATGCCCTCCATTTTCTGGCGCTTTGTTGTTGTTTAGTGGTTAAGTCGTGTCCGACTCTTCGTGACCCCATGGACCAGAGCACGCCAGGCCCTCCTGTCTTCCACTGCCTCCCGGAGTTGGGTCAAGTTCATGTTGGTCACTTTGATGACACTGTCCATCCATCTCGTCCTCTATCGTCCCCTTCTCCTCCTGCCTTCACACTTTCCCAACATCAGGGTCTTTTCCAGGGAGTCTTCTCTTCTCATGAGATGGCCAAAGGATGGGAGCCTCAGGTTCAGGTTCAGTTTCTGGCACTTGCTTCCTAGCCAAACACGGGGAGGAGGTGCATGCAAGGTGAACACCTACTATTCTCCTTTTACTCAAGCCCTGAGAAACCAAGCCTGGTGGGTTTGGTGGGTCTCGTGAATATTTGCTGGACTCCAACTCCCATCAGGCGCAGCCAACCTGCCCAAGGGCCAGGGATGATGGGAGTTGTAGTATGCAACTCCCTCCCCAATAAAAATCAGATATTTAGATATTTAAAGATACCCCCCCCCCGCGGGGGTGTGGGTCTCGTGAATATCTGCTGGACTCCAACTCCCATCAGGCCCAGCCAACCTGCCCAAATCAGATATTTAGATATTTAAAGATAGCCCCCCCCCGCGCGGGGTAAGATAATTATTAACAGCCACAGCCGAACCTCCAGGTAAGTCTATACCATCATCCTCTCTGTTTTTTCTGCAGGTCACCAGGCGCCCCTGAAGGCCCACCCTTTTCTTTCCAGGGAAGCCCACCTCTGCCTAGGCTGCCCAGCGGCCTCCCACCGGAAACAGTTGTTGTCATAGCAACAGCAACACCTTGCAACCAGAGTTCCCGCCGCTCCAAACCGACAAACTTAGCCCAACCTCTTTGGGCCGCCTCGACGCGAAACATACCAAAAAAAGCGCCCGAAGCTCAAAACGCGCGTGCGCAGCTCAAAACACTTCCGGGATCTAAGACTCGGGGTGCTGGTGCGCATGCGTCCCCCCTCTCTCGTTCTCTCTTCCCGGTGGGATCCCCATCCTTAACTTCTTTCCCCTCCGATATCAGTCCGTGTAGAAACAAGTTCACCTCCACAAAAGGCCCTCCCACTTCTCCGCCCTGCTTATCGAAAGAGTGAGGTTGGTCGGGCCTACAAGCGGCCTCTCAGGTTACCGGCCTTGTCCGAGGGGGAGAAGAACCCACCCCGAACTACCTTGGGAGGGGGGAAGGAGGCAGGGGGGGACACTTTTCAGTGTTGCACCCCACGCGGTAGGAGGAAAGTAAAGCTATTCGAGAGCTCCGCCGTCGCCGATTCGTCTCCAGCACGAGGTCCGGAGGGAGGGAGGCGGTGGAGAAGCCCGAGGTGGTCGAGAGGCAGGGGATTTCGTCTGCTTGGGGGGTAAGCCTCAGTTAAGGAAGGAATGAACTTGGGCGCGGGGAGAAAGAGGAGGAGGAGGAGGAGGTAAAGCTGCTTTCTGAATTGGGTTGCCACCTTTTGAAGTCCTGGCTGTGCTTCTGCTTTTAAGCAGGAGCTTCTCCTGGAGAAGCGAAGGAAGCCGGTGGTAAAGCTCTCGTTCGCAGAAGGTCGGGGTGGGGGGAAAAAGGTGAAGCCAAAGCTTGGCCCGCTTGGATTTGTGGATATCAGTTTGCTGTCAGTTGCATAGGAGCGGAATGGCGGGAACCAAAGAAAAGTTGGCAACCCTGGGAAGGAATTAAAACATGGAACGGGGGGGAGTGGAAACGTTGCCCTTTGTTGTCTTTTAATTTCGCTCCTTTGGGAAGAAGAGAAGGGGTTGAATGGAAGCGTTTGCTATGACCTTGGTTGGTGCCTGAATCTGCTCCTGAGTGCCCTTCACGCTGGAGAGGGTTTTGGAAACCGTAAGTTTAGGACACAGATTTTAAAAAACCTAGATTTGTGCAGCCGTCTTAAGCTGTAGATGTGCTAGGCGGGCCTTGGACAAGTTGCTGTCTCCGTGTTCCAAGCTCCCTTTGAAAAAATAAATACCATGATGTCAATTATGTGGCAGAAAATACGTATTTACTGCTGGTCGTCCCAACATGGTTTGTTTCATGAAACAATCAATGAAGCATGTAAGATACATATATATCCCTGGCCCTTGGGCAGGTTGGCTGGACCTGATGGGAGTTGGAGTCCAGCATATATATAAATATATTGAAAACAAGCCAAGAAAGGCAAAAATAGCGTGAAGGAGCCCAAACCGTGGATTAAAGACTATAAATCCAGATATGGAAAGCTTGGGTTTCCAGATGTTGCTGACACCCAGCCTTCATGACGACCATTCCTCACCATGGCCTGTGCTGGCTGGAGAGGATAGAAAGGATAGTCAGGCAACCTCTGGAGAGTCATTAGTTGCACCAGAAGTATATCCATAATCAAAGAGTTGTCAGTCACAGCCTCACTGCTGTGAAAATCCTTCTGTCCTAGGAATAGCTTTAAGTCGCAATTTATGATTGTGATTTAACTCTTCAGGTTAAACAGGAGTCTCCTCCAGTAATAAAATATAGTCAATTTGAAAACTGCAGCAGTAGTATTTTAAAAAAAGGAGGGCAGGTGCAGTAGATTGTAGAATCATGAAGTTGGAAGGGGCCTCTAAGGCCATCCAGTCCAACCCCCTGTTTGATGCAGGAATACTAGTCAAAGGAGATCTGCCAGGTGGTGGTCTAAGCAAGATAGGCACATAAATTACCTTTCTCAAACCCTGCTGAAACAAGAACCTCTTTGCTAGGTAATGAGAGTATAAAAAATGGACCGACCCTGGCTTCAAGTCAGAGGATTACACAATTTACATGCAGCCAATTTGCATTTCTCCAGTGCTTATCAATCATACCTTCACTCTTAACTGGATTGTGAAGAATGTCCTTTCCATCATACCTGAGGTTATATGCAGGCAATTCTGGAGCTTCTAAATACATCCCTGTCTCAACATCGGACAGAGATGACCTAAGGCTGTGGGATGGGGCTTCTCCCTCACTCCCCTGTCATTAATTGATCGGGGAAACATGGTAGAAAGCTGGTAGCAAAACCTTTCCGAAGCTGGCCGACATCCATTCTGAAGGAATGGCACTAAGCTTCTAGTGTGAATTGAAGATGCTGATGGTTTTTAAAGCTGTAAACAGCTGAAGACCTAGGTACAGTACATGACGGATCATCTCTTCCATTATATACTGGTCTGATCATTAACACTTGCTGGGGAAGCGAAGCATCACATGGAGATACATGGGAGGATTTTCTCAAGTGGGGTGAATTTGACTTAAATCAAATTGATTTATATTACAATTTAAATTTAAAAATTAGATATTTTTATGATTTAAATAAAAACTGAGTTTTAAATGTAAACCGTGATTTAAATCACCATTTAAATCAATTTGATTTTAACGGGTTGTTGATTTTTATCCTCTTCGTTCTTGAGTGTACCTCCCTTGTTATGAGGCCTCCTGCTGCCAACAGTGCTGTTCTTTTGGCACCAAGGTAAAATCTGGCTGCTCACTGAACATTTGGTAATTAACATCCCCGTAGTTTAAGCCTTTAGTCCATCTTAACCTTGTCTGAATTACTGACGTGTTTTGTAATAAATAATAATTTAATGCCGTCAAGTCAATTCCGACTCATGGCAACCTTTTCTAGAGGTTTCAAGGTAGAGAATACTCAGAAGTGGTTTCCCATTTTCTTCTTCTTGGGGTCTGTCCTGTGACTGAGCAGCTCTTCCCCTAGAAAGCACCATGAGGAATCAACTCTTGACTTCATGACCAGATATCTAAACCACTGAGCTTACCAGCATTAAGGTGTTTTAATATACAGTGGTGCCTCGCTTAACGAGTGCCTTGCTTAACGATGAATTCGCATAACGATGGCCTTTGCTGGAAATTTTGCCGCCTCACCTAACAATGTTTCCTATGGGGGATTTTCGCATAATGATGTTTGGGACCTTGCTTCACTTAACGATGACAGTTTTAGGTCCCCTGTTTCGCTTAACTTTTTTTTTTGACAGCCCTGTTTTCGCTATTTTAAAAATATTCTAAAATGTTTTAAAAATGTTTAAAATGCTTGGAATCGTTAGTGCACCTAATAAAACCTTCGTTAAAGTAAGTTGGCTTCGTTCTGAGTCTTTTTGAATTTTTGGTGATTTTTTTTGAAGTGGTTTCCCATTTTCTTCTTCTTGAGGGGTCTCCTGGGACTGAGCAGCTCTTCCCCTAGAAGGCACCGTGAGGAATCAACTCTTGACTTCATGACCATATATCTAAACCACTGAGCTATCCAGCATTAAGGTGTTTTAATATATTTTAACTCTTGGAAAGTGTTTAAATTCTGCACATTTTTTAAAAAATGGGCTTTTATTCACTAACCTGCCCTGAGATCTGTTGATGTAGGATGGGTTAAAAATATTTTAATGAATAATCCATATCTTGTGTTCAATTTAGGTGATATTTGGCAGAGCATTAAGCTATGGCTGGGCAGATATCGGAATCTGATCAGATCAAGCAGGTAAATTCTGGATCTCTAAACTAAGGATGCTTTTGAAATGTTTATAATATTACTAGCAGTTTAGCAACTTGAATGACATTTCCTAAGTAAGCTGATTTTCGTAGCCATGCAGATTTTTACATTTATCAGTAAATATATTCATTATGTGCTGCCTAAGTGCCTTTCCACCTGGATGGGTGTTGCTCCCAGGAATGAAGGATCCACCGTGTTCTGAAGATCTCTTTGATTTCTTCACAGTTCAAGGAATTTCTTGGAACGTACAACAAATTAACAGAAACCTGCTTCCTAGATTGTGTTAAAGATTTCACTAGCCGAGAAGTCAAGCCAGAAGAGGTATGAGGGGGTTCCATATGCTTTGAACTTTTGACTTGCTGGAACTTCCGTGTATATTTTTTTAAAAATACTATTTAATGATAGAATAATTGTTGGAAGGGGCCTATATATTTCCATCAAGTCCAACCCCGTGCTCAAGGGGTTGTCATATTTGTAAACAGATATAGATATCTTGGCTTGTTATACTCAATTTATTTGTAGAACCCCTTTATTTGGCTGTCATATTTGCAGATAGATGGCTATATCTATATTTATCTACAAATATGGCAGTCAAATGAATGAGATGAAAGGTGTGTTTCTTGCTTTGGCATTTCCATCAAGTCCAACCCCGTGCTCAAGGGGTTGTCATATTTGTAAACAGATATAGATATCTTGGCTTGTTATACTCAATTTATTTGTAGAACCCCTTTATTTGGCTGTCATATTTGCAGATAGATGGCTATATCTATATTTATCTACAAATATGGCAGTCAAATGAATGAGATGAAAGGTGTGTTTCTTGCTTTGGCACTATATTGCAACACCATTGGGGATCCTTTGGGTTGTGGTCATCTATAGCCATCATAACTAGCTCCACTGATAGGGCTTTGTCAGATTCCCTTTTAAAGTCTTCCAGATGGGCAGTCAACGCTACACAGACTCTGAGGAGCTGGCCTGCCTTTCCCCTGGGATAAAACATAAGCCTGCCACTCTCCTTACCAAACCACAAGCCAGGCATGAGTGCAGTCAGCTTTCGCACATGGTGTGTCCCCCCGCCAGCCCCTGATAGTTGGAGGTATGCTGCCTTTGAACATAAGGTTCCCTTTAGCTGTTGATGAATGAAATCCAGTGTTGTAGAAGTGCTTCATGGCCTCTCCCATTTTGAAGAGACATTTGTCCAGCAGGCCGAGGCAAAGAGGCAGTTCCAAAACCAGCAAAACCAGGGAGCTGGACAGGGGACAGACTGTATTTGTCCTCAGTGTGGAAGAGATTGTCACTCTCGAATTGGCCTTCTCAGCCACACTAGACGCTGTTCCAAGTCCTCCATGCAGAGCACGATACCATAGTCTCTCGAGACTGAAGGATGCCTAATCTAATAAGTGGAAGACCTGCTGGTACAACAGACGTTTCTCTCCCTCTCCCTTTGGCCTTGTTGCCTCACGTTCAGCCTCTATGTAGACTGTGGGGATCCCAAATTGTGTTACAATATGTTGTCAATTTACCAACACATAAAGCAGGAACCGTACATTTCATTTGATGCACGTAGTATTGGTAAGTTCATCAGAGATGTGACCAACATTATAAGTTAGGGCAGAATCGCCGAAACCAAGAACCCTGAATGAGTGGTGAAGGATTCTGCTGCCAGCTGCCTTCCACTCAGCAGTCCTGAATTTCACCTATGGATCAGTTTCTCATCTTAGCAGTTGTCAAGTCCTTTTAAAGGTCCATTTGCTGTCATGTCCCAGCGAGCTGCCTCCCAGTGCCTCAGACACAACTGATTTGCTTGTAATTTTTTCCCTTGATATGTGAATCACAGAGATTAGAAAATCATGGTCCAATCCTGCACTCTTTTAAGATAGGATGCTCTAAATTTCATCCTTTTAGTAACAGTCAAAATGTTGCCATGTCTTAAAACTACATTTTAAGAGCCAGTTCACAGAATATATGCCATGTGCATATTTATGCGACAACAGACTCGGGCGTTCCAGTGGTATACATGGCAAGCTGTTGGACCCAGCCTTAGCTCTCTCATCTGTCTGTAGGACATGTACCTTCAGAGTTTTGTGTATATACTTGTGCTTAAAAAAAATATATTTCAAAAATCTGCACAAAACATGAATCAATGGGTGAAAAAAACAAATTTAAAAATGCTTACAAGTAATGCATATGGTTGTGAGACATGCTTGGAAATATGGACACAAAAAATTAATGTCAGCCTTGTCAGAACAGGCCTCAGGGTGGAAGTTGGAAAACGCTAAGGAAATTAGAGTTTTGCAGAGTTTCAGATCCTAGCTATAATTATAGTATATTTTAACATGGGATAAAAGATTAAGACTTTGTTGCATTGTGTTCAAGCTCTGTATCCTGTGAAAGCACAAAAGGAAGTCTTTAATCAACAGTAATTTGCTGTTGGGAATGACATCATTCCCATTGCGCAGACAGAGTTGTGCAACAGGATTTGAGCCACTGCATGTTAAAAGTGTTGAATTAAAAATGTAAGCAACTTCCCTTCTGTCTCTCTCTCCTTGATACAGATGACTTGTTCAGAACACTGTTTACAAAAGTATTTGAAAATGACTCAGAGGATATCTATGAGATTTCAGGAGTACCATATCCAACAGAATGAAGCTCTGGCTGCCAAAGCAGGACTCCTTGGTCAGCCTCGCTAGAGGGCAGAGGACCGACCTTGACAAAGGAGTACCAACGTTGATTGCGTTGCTCACAAAGGTACCCTGGTCTCTGCCCCTCCTGTGGCAACATCCACTCAGAGCTCAGAGAAGGAGACTTTGGGAAACCATCAGAAGTTTCAAGTTGCAGGTGACGGTGGCCATAGAACTGGAGGAGCCTGTTCCAAGATTGTATTTGACTCTGCAATGGAATTATGTGGATGCCACTTGTTTCTTGAGACCTTTGGACTGGTTCTGCCAGTCACGACGTTAGAAATGGGGAGGGAACACTGACTTTTTTTTTTGTTTCTTATGCAGAATCGTTTGTTTTAAAACACAAGGGGGTGGCTCAGAAATTATATCCCAAAATGTCCAATGTGAGGTTCGAAAATTATATCCAAAACCAAAAATGTCCAAAGCAAGGTTTATTTTTTATCAATCAAAGTGTAATAAATTTAAACCACTGTTTGTATTATAAATTGTTTTAAATGAAGGCTTCAGAGGCTTTTACAAGGTCCTTCCTTAAGGGTGGCCCCTAGAATGATGCTGTATGCATTCATCATCTCTAATCCTGCTCATTCAGACTTGTTTCCAGCTGCTAGCGAGGGAGAAAAAAAACGGTCAACTGAAGAGGTACAAATGCACTAAAACGTTCAAATGCAAAATCTTGTAACATTTATGTGCCTCTCTAAGTACAGTCTTAACTTCACCGATGATACACTTTTTCACACTTTGTATTTTCTTGTGCCCATTGACCTTTCAGTGTATGGAAAAACTCCACTCCCACCTCCAATTAATTTCATAGGCTAGAATCCTTGACATCTGTTACTTGATGCAATACTCCGTTAATTGATGGAGATTGGGGGATTTTGTGCAAACATAAGCCATGTGCCTCACAAGGCATGCATGTGTGTGGGGGGGGGGGCTCATGCAAAGATAGACCAAAGATTGCAGGAGTGCCATGAGCACAATGTTATGTTTTGACCACAACGAACAGGATTTTGGCCATGAGTTCAGCATGCACTACATGCTTTAATAGTAATGTGGACTTGATTAATAGTTTCAGAGCATCTGAAACTGGCGAGTCACTTCAGTCAAATGACTGTGAAACTTCTGAGATCCTTGAAGAGGGAGAGCATGTCAAGCACCATTTGAGAGTAAGTGATTAATATAAATCTCTTAAATGTAGGGCCTTCCCTTAATCTCTTAGTCAGTGTTGGTTCTGGTAGGTACAGTACTTCTGTTCTTCTGTATAGGGGTGCCAAAGCAGTCTTTTAACATTTTTGGTACAGTACTGTTGAAAGAGAAGGATACATCGTTCAGATGTTGCTAACCAGTGACAAGGGGATTTTTTTTCCAACTTCTTCGCAGAAGAAGAAGAAAAAAAGTAACTGTTGGGTCCATTGTGTGGAGGAGATGGAGAAATACTGATGGGCCATTGAGAGAATGCAAAACTGCTGAACACTTATTTTGCTTCCGTCTTCTCCAAAAAGGAAATCAGGGAGAATACAGGAGGAAATGATGGGGCTTCTGCCAAGGATGGGCAAAGAGTTGGTATAGGTACATCTAGCTAATTTGAATTAGTTCAAGGCTTCTGGCCCTTGGAGGCTCGAAGGGTGTCTAAAAGGAACTTGGAGGTTGAATCTCAGAGCCTCTGCTTATGATCTGAGGATTCTTGGGAGTGAGGTCTGTGAACATGGGAGGTGAGAAAATATCTCCATCTTTAAAAAGACTAAAAGAAGATCAGGGCAACTTGATATCGATATCAAGAAAAGTAGAACAGATAATTAACCATCTCCTTCAAACAAGAAGTCTGTGAGCACTTACAAAACAATATTGTTTTGAGAGATCCAGCGTGGTTTCCTCAAAATCAAGTTATGCCGGATTTATCTTGTCTCTTTTTCTGACAGAGACACAAACTTGGGAGATTATGACTGAATCCTTGGGATTTATTCACAGCTATGATTTTGGAATACAGTACTTTTTGATTCCCTTGTTCAGGATTGGGGGTGGAGTGTCCCTTCCTGATGCTTTTTTAAAATCTTTTCTAAAAAGCAGAACCCATAATTTATCTGTTTGCTTTTATTAAAGAACTTCTAACTGCAAATACTGGTATCTTAGATCCTTATAATAAGAACAATAACTGTGTGCCCTCAAGTCAATTCTGACTTAACAGTGACCCTTTTCAGGGTTTTCTAAGTCGAGAATACTCAGAAGTGGTTTCCCCTTCCCTTCTTCTGGGGGTGCTCTGGGACTACTGTGCAGTTTGCCCAAGGCCACACAGGCTGGCTCTTCTAGAGTGCACAGTGCGGAATTGAACTCCCAACATCTGGATTCACAAACAAATCCTAACCCACTGAGCTATATGTCCAGCTTAGATCCTTACACAAAACACATGAAGCAGGTTTTTCTACACATTCAAATAATAACATGCTGGTTGTTGAAGGAAGTCAAATCCTCATTAATTTGTGTTTGGAAAGTTTGAAATGTACCTACTTGCATTGTATATGGAATCCTGCATACAAGCATCTCAAACACATGGGGTGGCAGAGTCTGTTCCAGAACTTGCATTAGCTGATGTGGATATGTACACACCGAAATGGCATTGATGAGGTGTTCGATGCTCTTCTTGGGCTCCCCTGCAATTAATTTATTTTCCTGAAATGCAGCCTGTGTGATCCTTAGAACTACTATGAGCACTTACACACCGTGAAGCATCAGCCTATGTTAGTATCTGTATTGCCACGTCAATCTCAGATGCTTCCTGCTTTCTTCATCCACCTCACCTACTGTGGAACAAAAATCATCAATTTCCTTATTATAGTTGGTGAGAGAAAAGAGTGGAGAACGTGACTGAGGAATTTGCCCTTTTTTGTTAGTTTGTTTTGCTTTCGCTCCTTTGGGATTGTAAAACAAGGCAACCTTCTTGAGCATGGTGCCCTTCAAATGCCCTGTGCTGGTTGGGGGAGTTCTGAGAGCCATCATCCAATACATTTGTAGGGCAGAGTTTGGGGGGAAATGGATCAGGTACAGATTGTAGCCAAGGGCCTGGAAGACACTCTTTGTACGGATCTGGTACAGTAACACCACTGACTCAAGAGATGGTCAGACCAGGATCAGCATCCAAAATAATAGCAGTTAAATAAAGGTTTTAGGTGTGTAAATACCCTATTATCTCAGCATTCTTTACAATTAATCTGGAAAGCCAGTGAGCATCCTTTTTGCTGCTTTACTGCAACAAGAGGACTGAGGCTAGAGAATATTTGGGCAAGGTGACATTTAAACTGGAGCCTTCCTGTCTTGAGTGATGCTATTGTAGATTTAAAACAAAATAAAACAATGGTTTACATTTATTTGATCCAAAGCATAGATTAGACACATCTTGCTGATTCGTTTACAGCAGAAAAGTGTCTATGATAAAGAAGGAAACAGATGAACTTTAGGGGGAACCCTAAAGCAGATAATTTTAAACAGAACAGCCTCTGCAGATGGAGAGTCTTCACAAAAACCTTGAAAATGACAGAACTGACTGTCCACCAGGGGAGCAAAGGAATGCTAGAGAGGGACCCTAACCGCTGAATATAGGGCTCCTTTCGGTTTCCTCCCTGTGAAAAGCGGTAGTGTGTCTAGTTCGATTACATAATTACAGGGATGATTTGTTACAGCTTCTACCGGAAGGTAAAGGTTCCCCTTGACATTTAGCCTAGTCATGTCAGACTCAAAGGTGTGCTGCTCATCCCTCTTTCCAAGCCATAGAGCCAGCATTTGTCCGAATACAATTTCCATTATCACGTGGCCAGCACGACCAGACACGGAACGCTGTTACCTTCCCACCGAGGTGGTACCTATTTATCTACTCACATTTACATGCTTTTGAACTGCTAGGTTGGCAGGAGCTGGGACAAGCGAGGGGAGCTCATTCCATCGCGTGGATTCGATTTTATGTCTGCAGGTCTTCTGATCTCGCAGCACAGAGGCTTCTGCAGTTTAACCCGCAGCGCCATCACATCCTCTACCAGAAAGGCTGGTGTTATTTCCACCCACATAATTGAACAGTGGTGCCCCGTTAGACGCCTACCCTGAATGATGTCGAAATCGCTTTACGATGAGTTTGGTGCCCTGTTAGACGCTTACCCCACATGATGTTGAAATTGCTTTACGATGAGTTTTTTGCAATCACAAAACGATGGTTCCAATAGGTTTTTTACACTTGATGTTGATTAGGAGCCTGCTTCACGAACCATTTGTTCGCTAAACGATGATTTTCCCGGCTCCGTAAAATGGCTCCCCTTCCTTTGTAAAATGGCTGTTTTCTGGACCCCTGCTTCCCCTCCCTTCATAAAATGGCTGTTTTCCAGACCCCTGCTTCGGACGACAGAAATTTTAAACAGCTGACCGGCGGTTCTCTATGAGCGATCTTCTCTGGACAATGAGGTATTTCCCCAATGGAATGCCTTAACCGGTTTTCAATGCATTCCAATGGGAATTTTCCTGGAACGGATTATCGTCGTCAAGCGGCGCACCACTGTACAGGATCTGAGGCTGATGGATGGCGACTATTAAATTAGGGGCATGCCTTGTGCTAATTTCATCCTTAGAAATTCTCTTCTGTTTTTGCTTGTTTGTGTTTGGTAGAGCCCTAAATCTTTAGGTCTCCGTAAGGACTGGAGGTAGTAAAAAGGACACCAGTGATGCAGCTTTCATTACCAGATGCCAAAAGTATGATAATATTATTTTACATTCTGTTCCAAAACTCTCTGTGTCAATGCATGCTTGCTACATGCCGGCATATCATAATCAACTCACAGCAACCATAATAGGACTTTCAAGGTATGTGAAATATCTAACAGGAGGTTTTACCAGTGCCCCCATCGCCCAGGGTGAGTTGAACCCTGGTCTTCTGAGTCCGACTGAGTCTGTCATTCTGCCCACTACACCACACTGTGCTTGTTATGTATGTTTTTTTTTAAAATAAAATTAATATTTATCAACTTCCTATGCTCATTCTGAGGCTTTAACGGTTTCTTTTTACTGTCCAACCTTCAAAGAGAGGATACAAACAAGTAGAATTGTACCACTTTTTTTCTCAAAGGGGTAGCTGCGTTCGTGTGATTTGGTGTGGATAAGAAAAACAAAAATGAAAGCAAATAATACCGTTGCACCTTGAAGACTGAACAGATTCATTTCCATGTGAGCTTTCCTTGATCACTACCTGCTTTCTTATTAGGCTACAGGTTTATATATCGCAGTACATAGGACTGGAGTGCAAATTGAATGACAAGAGAACGAGAGGATGTCAGTGACACTGGGGATGAAATTTCAAAATCTCAAATACATTTTTAACACTGTTACTTGGGCTCCATGATCACTGCAGATGGTGACAGCAGCCATGAAATTAAAAGACCGCCTGCTTCTTGGGACGAAAGCGATGACAAACCAAGACAGCGTCTTAAAAAGCAGAGATATCACCTTGCCAACAAAGGTCCGCATAGTCAAAGCTGTGGTTTTTCCATTAGCAATGTATGGGAGTGAGAGCTGGACCATAAAGAAGGCTGACCGCCAAAGAATTGATGCTTTTGAATTGTGGTGCTGGAGGAGGCTCTTGAGAGTCCCCTGGACTGCAAGGAGAACAAACCTATCCATTCTGAAGGAAATCAACCCTGAGTGCTCACTGGAAGGACAGATCCTGAAGCAGAGGCTCCAAGACTTTGGCCATCTCATGAGAAGAGAAGACTCCCTGGAAAAGACCCTGATGTTGGTAAAGTGTGAAGGCAAGAGGAGAAGGGGATGACAGAGGACGAGATGTTTGGACAGGGTCACTGAAGCGACCAACATGAATTTGACCCAACTCCGGGAGGCAGTGGAAGACAGGAGGGCCTGGCATGCTCTGGTCTGTGGAGTCACGAAGAGTTAGTCTTCACCACTAGCCTAAAAAACAACACTGAACTTTTAAAGTAGTGATGAACATAGGTCATAGGTGGAGCCATCAGCTTCTCTGAGTTGATAGTAGGGGAAGTTTGCTACCTTTGATAGCAAGTCCTAATGGAGCTGTTTTCAGGAAGTTGTGTGGGTGTTATGTCAAGGAAAATAACTGTTTGGCTATAGCTGTGTACAACAGGTGTCCCAAACCTTGGGTCTCCTGATATTCTTGGACTACAACTCCCAAATCTCCTGATATTCTTGGACTAAAACTCCCAGAAGTCTTCACCACTAGCTGTGATGGTCAGGATTTCTGGGAGTGGTCGTCCAAGAACACCCGGGTCTCACAAGGTTGGGAGTCGCTGGTGTACAGTTTGGCGTAGTGGATAGAGTGAAGCATAAGAACTCGGGAGACCCCGGGTCTCACAAGTTTGGGAGCCGCTGGTGTACAGTTTGGCATAGTAGATAGAGTGAAGCATAAGAACTCGGGAGACTTGCGTTGACATCCTTCCTTGACTATGTAAACTCACTGGAAAGTGTCAGTGGTAAAGCCACACTGTCTTTCACATACCTTAACACTCTGTTAGGGTTGCCATCGGTTTGATGTGACGTGACAGTACGTAGCGCATACACAAGCCTGCTTTTTATGAGTGGCTTTCTGTGGAAACAGAGAGAACTGAAGGGAATGTTTTTGCTTCTAAAGACCAAAGACTCAACAATGCTGCTATATAACAAACAAAAAACTGAAATAAAAAATGGTGGCACTTTAAAGAAAAAGAAGACTACCACGCAGATATGAATATGTTTCAATTGTCAAAATCATTATTTAGCTTATTCCCCATTAAGATTGTAGCAACAGATTATTTTCAATAAATGCACTGTGTGTGCAAATATATGCAGGTTTCACCAAAACAGACAGACACCCTTCTTCTATCCTTACCTTTTGCCAGCCAAATCTCTCCCACTTGGATCTCTTGTATTCCCCATTAAGATCGTAGCAACGGATGATTTTCAATAAATGCACTACGTGTGTAAATATACAGTATGCAGGTTTCACCAAAACAGACAGACACCCTTCTTCTATCCTTACCTTTTGCTAGCCAAATCTCTCCCACTTGGATCTCTTGCAGAAAGAAGTCCTGGAGGTTTGCAGTATCTTTCAGCTCAGATAACTAGGGGTGTTACAAACAAAGTTTGGAAGGAGCAACATTGACCAATCAGTTTGAGTGTGGATGAAAATAAAGCTGTTAACAGACAACTTTTTAAAATTTCTTTCTGGGATTGCATTCCTGGAGCCAGGAATTAACCCTGCTGTGGCTCCTATGTCTCTGCTTTGTAAAGAAATCCAGCCCTTTTGCAGAGCTTCATTCAATACATCAGCAGAGCTTTGGTTTCTGGGCATGCTCAGTGGGCACCGGGGAATAAAGGACATCCATCGTAGCAATGTGTAATATATCCATTTTACTAGACCCCTATTTCAACATTCTGCAAAATAATCGGCATTCATTGAAACTGGAGTGCTCGTAGAACCAACGACCAAGATACAAGTACCAGCACTTGAATCAATAAATAAAATGAGTAGTATCAATGTAGTAAATTTCCAGCAGAGCTAAATGCACTTCACATGCCTGCCGTACCAGACAGGATTAGAGAGGCAGAGCTGACAATTTGTTCAGTACGACGAGTTAAGTAGGATATTCACCTTAAAATAAAGAATAAGGTCTAGTCTGCATATTCATTAGTTGCTATGTGTGTCATCCTCAAGGAAAGCTGCAGTTAAGTCACAGTGCAATTCCCAACAATAAGCATGAACAAATCATAAAGCCCTAGCACAGGACCTGGTGTCTCGTTTTTCCTATGCCGGATACACAAACTAGGCAACCACAAGTATCCCATAGTGTCAGCACTCCCTATGTCTGCTCATGTAGAGTCTATCATCAAGACCTCCTCCCATTACATATAAAATACTACGGATTTCCTGAGGAAACGACATTCCATTGATAGCTCCCAAGAAAACACTATTCTAGCCACCATTGACGTTAAGGCCCTTAACACCAAGCCGTTGGAAAGCCATTTCCAGTGGGGACTACAGCACATCTAGCCATCCAGTTCTGCCATATTGCACTCAATTCAGTTACTTCTGCATTCAGGGGAAGGGTCTCTTCACATCACCAGTGGACCGCCCATGCGCACTTGCACAGCTCCACAGTATGTGGACATCTGTTGTCAAGTCACTTCCAAGGTGTGGTGACCCTATGAATTTGTTGTTGTTTAGTCATGTCCGACTCTTTGTGACCCCATGGACCAGAGCATGCCAGGCCCTCCTGTCTTCCACGGCCTCCTGGAGTTGGGTCAAATTCATGTTGGTCGCTTTGATGACATTGTCCAACCATCTTGTCCTCTGTTGCCCCCTTCTCCTCTTGCCTTCACACCTTCCCTATGAATAACTGCCCTCCAAAAGGTCACGTCATGAACAGTGGTTCTCAATGCTTCCAAACGCAAGGCCTCCTTTTATCAACTCAATCCACCCCTTATTTGGTCTTCCTCTTCCATTGCCTTCAACTTTTCCTAGCCTTATTGTCTTTTATAGTGTCCCTCCCTCTCCCATGATGCGCTCAAAGTCGAAGGGCCTCAGTATGCCGACATTGTAATATCTAACCTAAGATGATACTTCTTGTACTCTTTTCCCCAGTGCCTCTGCCTTCCTGGAGATTCAGGAAAAAACATCTTTATCATCTGGACTCATGGGCAGGAGTCACCAGAAAGGTTCCATTCAGACTTTTACTACACCATCATTCTGGAACTTGACCAGTCCACACAACAGGTTCATTCTTTTCATACTGTTTGAGCACTTAGCAACAATTAAACTCACTGGATGATCTTAGGCATGTCCCTTATTGGCTTCACGCAGCTATGAGGACAAAACTTCAAGGATAAAGAGAGCGATGTATAGTGCATTGGCTTAGAAGAAAGTCAGGCTATAAAAACAAAATAATAGCAATGCATGTAATTTTTTTTTACCTCTGACTCACGTTCTTTTGCTTTTTCACGCTCTTTTCTTCTTTCTGTAAGAATAATGTGGAATATTTAGTGTCTCAATCGAACAGCCCAGAGCTGTAAAAGTTTAACAAGTTGGCTAACACCACCGGCTCCCTCTAACGTAAATGCAAATTAACTTGATACAGGAGACCCAGAACTGTTTATCCTGACATTCCGGCCCCCGATTTTTCCTCTACTGCAGCTTTCTAATTGTCTCTACCAGGATCAGCTTTTTGTTCCTATGCAAGTTTGGAATTGATGTTGTTGAGTTTATTGGTGTAAACGGAGTATTCCACCCAATATGAATGAATGGAACTTTCTCCCAACATTAACCACCACAGGTCCTTTTGCAGCAGGCGCAAGAGGACTAGATCCTTAGAAGTTGCTTTAAAATGAAAACAGAATTGTTGGGACGATGAAACATCTTCCGCAGTTTAAGTAATTTTGAATTCAGTAAGTGGTGATGTTCTAATAAGGGGATTAACTAGAAGGAAGGAGACCCAAAAAAGGAAAATTGTACTGAACGGTTCCTGTTCATAAGAACAGGATGAAGTCTGCAACGTAAGGGCATGCTGAGGCAACAGGATTTAATGCTTTAAAAAGATAAAGGTAAAAGGTAACACACTCCTCTGTCTGTCTGTCTGTCTGTCTGTCTGTCTGTCGTGTGTCTGTGTGTGTGTGTGTGTGTGTGTGTGTGTGTGTGTGTGTGTGTGTGTGTGTGTGTGTGTGTGTGTGTTTAGTGCAAAATTTAAAGTAAAATATGTCCGTTTATGGGTTAGCTGTGATAGTCTGAAATCCTTTGGAAGGAAGGAAGTTTCTGTATCTACCAGTAATCTATCATTTTTGGTAGATATAACCAAACAGGTCCCAAGCTAAATGAACTAACCCGATCATGTGACATCCTTTAAAACAGATTAATTAGAAGGGCTGCCAGCTAAGACATTGCCCAAAATCTGTTGGTATTTGTGTAAGGTCTGCTTGACGTGCTGCCCCTAACTGAGGCTAACGGATGAGGGCACGGGGCACATTTCAGTTGTGTTCCTGGTCACACAACGGAGATACCCCCCCAGGGCACCTCGTCAGTCAGCGGCAATTAGCCACAGGAGATTGTGCAAACCTCCCCTAGGAGAACTCTGCCTCTTTTTTTGGGTTATAATCTGTTGTGCCAAGAGTTATAAATGCTAAAAGAGATCAATACGACTGCCTAGTCTTGATAGGGCACTCTCTCTGAAAGTCTCTTTTGTCAAGATTTGAGGGATGCCTTTTAAAAACGTTGCTCCCGCAAGGTAGTTGAGTTGTCTTGTATTATGTTTCCATCCCTTCTCCTCCCGAATCTCCAGAAGGGACATGTTCAATTTCTGAGTGCTTCAACCTCAGAGACCTCTATTTGGAAGTAAAAACCCTCTGAGCAACATGGGGTCATTTTTCTATTCACATCCATGTTGATCAGAGCCTCTGTGGTCTCTAGCGGATGATGTACGTCAGCCTACGGACTCAGGAAACCCAGGTTCAAAATCTCACTAAGCCATGAACATGGCGTGTATGTTGGAGGTGTGGTAGCCAACCACTCCTTGCAACGACATCTCACATGTATTGAAAACCCTGTTCACAGGGCCGTCCATGAGAAGGAACTTATCAGAACAGAAGAATAACCTAAGTAGGCAGCAGGAGTAACCAACGGCTCCATCTCCCTTTCCAACCAAGCAGGGAGAGGTTTTAAAAAATAACGGCCAAAAAGCATGGCCGCTGGTTAAGAAGGAGTGGCCGATTTATTTCAAGGTGGACTTCCGTGTATCAAATCCTGAACTCTGAAATGTGCCTGAGGAAAAGTTGCTTCTATCCACAACCGTGTGAAATGAGGCCCTGTCGACAACATGACACCCTAGTTTCTTTGTTTTTGTGGGGGGCATGGATAAATACAGAAATATTTGCCTCACAGTCCCATGCTTATGTCTGAGGACGTAGGCTGGTCCATGAAAACCCCCCTGAAAACATAGCGGCCAGTCTTTAAGGTGCCACAACGTTTCTTTGTTGTGGTGGTTTGACTATTTCTTTTGATGTTTCGGCCTTTTCGCCTCACAAAAAGACCCCACTGAAACAAAGTATCCATCTTTAAAGCCTCTCAGTGTTTTGGCGTCCCTCCACCCCCCTGCCTTAGTTTTCACCCAAGTGCCCCCCCCCGAGACGCCCTTGGGCTGAAGGACACCTTCACAGCCGGTGGCCTCCCCCTCCCTGAACAGACCCTCGTGGCCGGCCTGGGGAGTCAAGAGGCGAAGCCCCGGGTGCTCACTTTCCCTCAGCCTGCGTTTAAAATTCGGGGCGCCCCGCCGCTTCTGGTCGAAATAGAGGCAGTAGGCGAGGAAGGCCAGGCCACAGGTGCCAGCCGCCAGCCACAGCCACTCTCGCCCGGCCGGCCACCAGCTCCACTCCATGGCGGATGCCCTTCTTTTCCTGCCTTCCCGCCCACGCGTGGCAACCAAGATGGCTGGCAACCCTTCTAAGAAGGAAAGCCAGGCAGGTCAGCGAGGAGGGTCTTCTCATGGTCTCTGAACTCCTGTGTCCTGTGGTAGACCAAAGGGAATGTCATGAGGGGGACCCGGAGGACGACAACGGCAGCATCCATATTCCTTTCAGGGTGCTTTTGTTTTGGGAGGTGGGCAGCTGGCCCGGCCCACAGTCCACAAGCCTTTTCCTCATCAAAAAAGGAAGAGGGACCCGAAAGAAGAAAGATCAGAGTGACAGAATAATGGAGTTGGAAGGGGCCTCTAAGGGGAGAGAAGCCAACCCTCTGTTCAAGGCAGGAACCCAAATAAAAACCGATGACAAGAAGGTGGGCCCATTTCCAGCGTTGGAGCGCTCCCCACCTCTCAAGGCCATGGCTCCATTGTCGTACTGCTCTAACAGTGAAGAAGTTTTTCCTGATATTCAATTGAAATCTGGCTTCCTGCAACTTGAGCCCATTAATGTGTGTCCTGCACTCTGGGATGACCAAGAACACATCTTGCCCCTCCTCTGTATGGTATCCTTTCAAGTATTTGAAAAGTACTATGCTATCTCCTCTCGGTCTTCTTAAGGTTAAACAGGCCCAATTCTTCCAGTCTTTCCTCACATGGCTTGGTTTCCAGCTCCCTGATCCTCCTTGTTGCCCTTCTCTGAACTTGTTCGAATTTGTCAGCATCCTTCTTAAACTGCAGTGTCTAGAACTGTACACAGTACTCAAGAAGAGGCCCAGCCAGTGCGAAAAAGAGGGGAACCTACTACTTTACGAGATTTGAAGACTATACTTGTTAATGGAGCATAAAATCGCATTTGCCTTCTTTGCAGCTACATTACACTGTTGGCTCGCATTCAGCTTTTGATTCACAACAATTCCAAGACCTTTCTCACTCGTAGTATTACTATGCCAAATAATAATAAAAATAAGAGCAGACAGGCACCGGAGATGGGAGTTAAGGAACAACGCCAAATAATAATAAAAATAAGAGCAAACAGGCACCGGAGATGGGAGTTAAGGAACAAAACTAATTCCTGCCACCTGTCCCTACAGAAAACAAGCAATGGAGCTTCCATGGCTAGAGGCAATATGTTGAAGGACACCAGGTGCTGGGTTGTCATCATTCCAGCTTCTCTGTCTGAAGGGCTGTCCACAAGGCTGGTTTGAAGGGAAAGGAGGAGGAGGATCCGCAACCCTGCAAGCGCTACTCCCTGATCAGCACCTGAACACCAGACTCTGCATGGCTTTTTGAATTGTAAAAAACACTTCTCATTTTCCATCTGTACATATAATTAGAATAAGCAACTGTATGCCAAGTAGAGCTTTAAAAAAAAAAAAAGAGGATGATGCTTGTCTTTAACATGGCCCATAGTGCCTACTCTGTGCTAAACACACAGTGATAGCAAATACAGGAGTCTCTGCTTCAAGGAACATTTTTCGGCAGGTTGAGGTTAGAAAAGAGGTGCCTTTTCAATCTCTGTAAAACTCTTGAAAAATATTAGCCTGTTACCACAAAACATAACAATTGGGTAGACAAACCTGCATGGATGCAATGAAACAAAGAGAGCCCTTGGTTCAAGCCAAAGGGGATAAAGTTGAACCTCTGAGGTTCTCGTCGTTTCTTTTGCAATTTGTCTTTGATCTTCCAACACATTTGATCTTCTGCAGAAACGTCTTGTGGCAGTTCATACCATGCACCAGCCTTTATGCCAAGTAATACATGGACACAAATCTGATTTTAGAAATAGTAGTACTCAACCCTTTGGGTGAGTAATACTTTGGTCCGTGGAGACAATTTTTCTTGATGTCAAGGTGGCGATCCGTGAACAAAAAAACCATCAAAGATAGATCTCTGGAGCGAAACAGCTAAACAAGACTACTAGAGGTCTTGCATTTCGTTTTCACCGTTCTAGCTTCCACATTACTATATAAACGTGTGTCTACTGCGGTGTATCAGAAGTAGTGATGCTCTACAGTTTGAGAAAGCTTATGTGAAATACATTTGTTAGTCTTTCAGGTGCTACAAAAGTACTTTTTGTTTTTACTACCACAAAGCAGCACAACTATTTGGAGAACTGATCCAGCTGACACGAGGAGAGAGGATTTTCATAAATTCCTCCTTTCAGGGTTCCCCTAAATCTTAGTATTAGTTGGGAGGGCACAGAGGAATAACTCGAATCATCTTCCTCATTTAGTAGGGTCTGCTGGCACAAACACTAGTCCATGAATTGGAAAAGCAGGGCTGATTCAAAATAATAATGGGAAAATTAAGCATGATACATGTGACCCACATTTTTACTGTAATGATAATTTCTTTTATTATTAAATATATAACTGAGTTAGCTCTGAAGCATCTTTACATCACAATATGAAGCCATATGTTTCTTCTGTTCGGACATGATGGCAGGTTTACAAAATCACTTAAAAATAAAATAAAGCCTATGTTTAAAAACATAACCTTTATTAATGCTCTCCACTGAGCTTCATTTACATCATACACTGAAATAGCTCTGCTTAAGAAAAGGACAGAAAAAGTGCATTTTTACAAGAGTACTTTTTCCTTTAGTCTCTATGAATATGGAAGGAACTGGAATCACAAGCTGACAGTGGTAAAATGAAACGGTAAAGAGGCCGTCTTTCATTTCATGACTCTCTTTCCCAAGTCTTGCAGTTGAGACTTTCAGATTGTGAACTTTATCTAGATTTTCAGGATAGTAATAATCTGTCTTATAACTCTACACCATATTAACAAGGAAAAAGGCATAAAACCCCTTTTCAATGTACAAAGGTGAACTTTTTTAAAAAATTGATTAAAAAATCACTTTATACACAATGCGTTATGCAAACCGCCTTAAATACATGGTTTTGGGAAAGTTATTTACAAGCTCAAGACTGTGGGACAATCCACAGCCAAAGCAGTAAAGTTAAACCCTTGGATGATAACAGATCAACTTTGGCAGATACAAGACTAGCTTCAGTAAAACAGCAAATGAAGACGTGTGACAAGCACTGTAATGGCAACCCAAGAAAAACGGTTTCCTTAAGAGTCAACAGAAGTATTAGGACTGCCAAAGTTCTCAAGACAGGATAAAGTTTAATCCAGATGCCAGATTAGTTTTACACTGAAAAGTTGAACAGATTAAACCACTCCCATATGCAGGTATGGCTGAAACCTCCTATATATGGCAGGGTTTCGTTGTTTTTTTCAAGTGACAGGTATATTTTACCGAAAGAGTGAACCTAACGGATTTTTTTTCTTCCCAATTTTATTTTATTTTTTAAAAAACACATAAAAATACAACATCCAATGTCTGAATAAATATATTTAACAAGTTGCAAGATACCTTATTTTACACAAAAAATCTGCTTTAGAAATCTTGTTAAATAACTTCATTGTTATATATTTTATTTTTTTGCCTTTTTGTAACAAAATAAAAACTCTGAAATTACATAGAAAAGAAGACAAAATACTTTTGTCAAGGGATAAGATAGTCCACTGAAAACCTATTCACAATTCCACTGTAAACATTAAACATTAAAATATTTGCATAATCATGTGCTCAAAAATCCTATAAAAAAGTGGAAGACTCATTACAATGGTAGTTTCCAGTCAACTACACTTCCTTTCACAATATATTTTGTCCAATTTACACCTTTAAAATTGGGCACGTTGCTGAATACACACTTTGGCAGGTCTGTATTGCAAGTGCTTCTTCAAAATAATAATATTAAAAATAAAACAATGGGACTCTTACTCAGGATTAAGATACAGCTTGGTGAAAAAAAAGTGCAGCAATAGCATTTTGATGAACCTGTTCAGATGCCGGGTTGGTGTGCTCGCTCCCCGTTTTTCATTCTTTTTTTTTTAAAGCAAATTTCCTTATAGCACCCAAAAGCTTAATTAGACATTTGTGTCTCCAGATTTCATTAAGTGCCCTTTTTCTGTTTTAAATAAAAAAAAAACCCTGAAAAGCACCAAGACAGAGATGTGTCTAAGTGCACACAATACACCTTGCCAATTAATTTAATTAATCCCCACAACGGAAGTTTTTGTTTTTTAAAAAAAGAGAAAAATCCTGAATGACAATATGGAGGAGAGGGGCGCAAAGGAGAAGAGACAGACACAGTCCAGCAGTGGAAGAGTATACAGAATATACTGGGCAATGTCAAACCAGCTGAGTACTTTCTACGGTAGGTCAGGATTTCTGTCCATGAGAGCAACTTGCTGCACAAGGCAGAGAAGACCAGTATCACCTGCATTCAACAGCGAGCACGTTCTGTGGAGGCGAGGACGACGTGGGACTCATTCCAGTGTCTGAAGAAGCAGAGGACATGGAAGCTCCTGTGTGGGACACTGCAAAATACAGGGAGAGAACATTCATTCATTCAAAATATTTTTATCCCACCTTTTCCTTAAAAGGGACCCGAGGCGGCTTACACCATTAAAAAAGGCAATTATTTAAAAGCTAAAACCAGTATGAAAAACGGAAATAAAATCAATACTAAACACATTTAAAACAATGGAGCACAACAATCCATTTTAAAAACCCTTTCAGACCCCACTCGCTAAGGAAAAGCCTGATGGAAGAGAAAGTTTGACTTCAAAGTTTTAATGCTTACTTTATAAGGCCCTAAACGGTTTAGGACCTCAATATTTGGCGGAACGCCTGCTCCCACCAAGATCTACCCGGATCACCCGTGTGAGTCAGGAGGTGAAGCTGAGGAGCCTGACGCCGAGGGAGGCCCGTAAGGAAAAGACATGAAATCGGGCCTTCTTGGCAGTGGCTTTTCGCCTCTGGAACAACCTCCCTCCGGAGATTTGCACGGCCCCCACACTGGGTACCTTTAAAAGCCAACTAAAAACACGGATATTCAGGCCTTCCCTCCTGTCAATACTTGATTTTTCTTTTATTCTTTCTTTCTTTATTACTTATTCTATTTTTGTATTGTAATTTGTTACTGGTTGTCTTATGTAATAGTCTTGTGTTGTTTTATTGTATGTATGTCATACTGGAAGCCGCCTAGAGTGGTTGTATAGATACAAATCAAATAAATAAATCAAATAAATAAATAAATAAATAAATAAACATCTGTCATGGTTGTTCTGAGTTTTTCGGGCCTGTACAGGTTGCTGTCCTCTGAAGATGCCGGCCACAGAGACTGGCGAAATATTTTAGAAAGAATTAAGCAGGTACACATTCAAAACAGTAATAAAATCAATATTAAAAAAACATTTAAAACAACAGAACACAACCATTCATTTAAGAACCCCTCTCAGACCATAAGGGTAAGGGAAAATCTACCTGAACAGAAAGGTATTTGCCTCACTATGGATAGGACCAGCCAAGCTTCTTGTGGGAGGGAGTTCCAGAGTCTGGGAGCAGCAACAGAGAAGGCCTACTCCCGTGTCTCCACCAAGCGAACCGGAGGGTGGTGGCACGGAGAGAAAGGTCTCCCCTGACAATCTTATAAGCCCCGGTGGTCTCATGGGGGAGATGCAGTCATTTAGATAGCTTAGACCCAAGTTGTTTAGGGCTTTATAGGTTAAGACCAGCACTTTGACTTGGGCCTGGAAATGGATCAGCAGCCACAAAACACCTTCTTTTATCGGTATCGCTGACTGCTGCCTTGAATACTTGAAACTTTTTCACAACAAGCTTTCCTGGCCTTTGTGGTCTTTATATAAGTGGAGTCACCAATACAGGGATGGACAATTCTTGGCTTCCATGGCCTTATTTCTCCCACACACACACAACTCCCTCTCCTGATCCAATAGGTGCTGCACAAGCCCCCAAATGTGAAAGATTTAGAGCAGCCCCTTCAAATTTCCAAAACACTCTTTCTGGGTGAGTTGGGGGATGGAATTGCAGGGCCTCGTTTCCCATTTAAACTGCTGTTCCTGAAGGATTCCAGAAAAGGATGTTTCTCTACCCCATAAAATAGGAGTCGCCAACCTTTTTCACCCCGTGAACCGGCTGGAGAAGACAAGGCACCCCCTAAGCTCGTGGACATGTGCAAACGAGTGAGTCCGAATGAGCATGTGTGCACACACAAACAGTGGTGCAGCACTTATGCACACTCATTCACTAATGATAGTGCGGCACTTATGCGGGTTGCGTGCGCACTTGTGCGCATGCACAGACAATGGTGCAGTACTCAGACGGGCACACAGAGCATGCACAAATCAGCTCTGCGGGGTTGAGCGCATGCACAGGGGGTCAGGAAGTCTGTCTCCGTCGCCCGCTTTGGCTCAGGCCACAGACCAGCATTGGGCCACGGACCAGGAGTTGGAGACCGCTGCCCTAAAATGTAAAACAAAATAAAAAATTGAAAAAAAACATATATTGGGAGGATGCACGAGCAAGATGAGGTGTGTTGGGATCACAGGGCTAAAAAAGAGCCTCAGGAACCACCATTTCAACAGTCCTTGCTTTAATGCCCAAAGAGTGTGCCCCCCCCAGCTTGCATCACAATAGCAAAAAAAAATGCAGCAACAGCTGCAAACAGCCTTGTGGTCACCCTTGAGAGCTGCAGAAGAAATACTCTGCCAGTGCAGCACCAATTTTTCCCTTTAAATTATTTACATGTGGACTAAACAGAATGATCCAGTACTGAGACAGTCCACATTCACATCAAGGAAAAGACACCAGACTTCTGACAAGCCCACAGTCACAAGCCCCCCCCTTCACAAGACTGAACTTGCCTTCTCGGTCCTTCTTTTTCAATCGTTTCCTTCTCCTGTCTATAGTGGCAACTTCTGACTTCAGAGACATGTAATATTTCCTGATTTCCTGCAGTTTTTCTTGAAGAAAGGAGATCCGCTCCGTGCTGCTCATGTTGTCTAATTCATCTAAAAAAATAAACAAAACAAATGATAGTGTTATAAAAAATAATTAAGGAAACTGAGAGACTTTTTATTCACTAGAAATGCGATGTGATGTAGGAAGCAGAGGACATAAAACAGAACAGCTTATTCCATCAGAGGATGTCATGCTCAACACAGGTGACCAAATATGTAAAGAGGTGCCTATTTAAAAGCGCTCTCTCTCTCTTGTTCTTCACTGAAAGCTGATTTTTTTCATAGTAACCGAAACTATGTTTGCCACAATCTTCCTCTATTATTCCAGCACCATCTATCCATCGATGAATGCCTGCCTGCATGAATAAATACATGACATATTTATACCACCCCACTGTGAAAATCCACTACTCTATCCGATTGTACAAACAGAAATCAACCCACACCACCCTCCAGAAACAAAGAAAAAGGAAACAAACAAACAAACAAAAACTCCAACTAAAAACTAAATGATAATGACTATCATTTAAGGTAAAAATCTAAGCCATGAGTCAAATCATTTAGCTAAGAGGAAGAATGTCCATAAATGCTTCTTTAAGTAATTTGGTTTTTTTTTTACTAGCTTCTTGGAAGTCTGGAGGGAAGGGGGGGCCTACTGAATCTCCACTGGGAGGTAGCTCCAGAGTGATGGGCCACCACCAAGAAGGCCCGGTTTCTCACAGAAACCCTCTCTTCTGAGTCAGCAGCCAGTCTGTCCTGAAGAAAAGTTATATTCTAGACCCTGTATCTGATCAATCTTGAGAACAAGCAGTTCTCCCCCCCAAAAAAAAAATATTATTGCATGGAAGCATTTCACACAACCTAGCAACGTGGCTTAAATCTAGTGGCTTGGAAGCACAAACAGAGGTTTGTATGGGCAGCTGTCTTCCCAGTGCCTTTCTAGAAACAACGCCTCAGACGTTGTCCTCCAAAGGGAATCATCCATGCAACCACAACCTGCATGGTACGTTATGTAAGTCAGCTGGTGAAACAGGTATAGTGCATCACAGCCTACACAATCTCTCAAGGATCTTAAACACACTATGATATTTAAAAATTCAACTAAAATCAGTAGAGATTTCTCCTAAAATTTTTGCGTATTCTCCTTTGACGAGTAAATCTGCCATGGAAACTTTACACGCGGCCGTGGACCTTGCGTGGCAGCGAAGGCATGTATTTACCTTTTACCTTCTTTTACATTGGGCTCAAGTTTACCTTGAGCCCAATGTAAAAGAAGGTCGGAAGTGGTGGGAATTCCTGAATGAAGTTTACCTACTGTTTCCTTCTGAGCTACTACACAGTTGCATCTCCCAATAAACTAAAAACCTCTGGATAAACATTTACACTCACTGAAAGCTCAGTAAGTGGAAGACCTACCCGAAATTCCCTTCTGCAAAAGGAAAAGCAGCAACTGTCAAGATCCAAGAGGACTGCCCACATGCGCTATTGCTCTGTGTCAAGAGACTGGGAAATGGGGGGATAATGGTTTCAGTTGCCTTTGAAACACAGACTTGCAAGCTTCTGCTAGAAGGGATAGCCTATACCAGTGATGGTGAACCTTCTTAAGCCCGAGTGCCCAAACGGCAACACAAAACCAAATTATTTATTTTGAAGTGCCAACACTGCAATTAAACCTGAATACTGAGGTTTTAGTTTAGAAAAAACAACTCATGTCGTTCACACATTTTGTCGGTCTGGTTCTTTATTGATTCCTCCAACTGACTACTCTTTTAGAAAAAAGTCAAGTGCAAAATGCTACATTGAATTAAATGCACCCTATTTATAAAGCTTATTAAGTACACTGAAATCCTGGATTTGTTTCCTCCAAAGTAATCCACCCTCAGAAAAGCAGCTATATACAGGAGTGCAAACTTTGAAAGTGTATACCTACATTTTATACACTATGTAAAGTGTATACAGTAGACATTTAAGTTATTTGAAATTTAGTGTTTGAAACGAGTTTTAAAGATATCATGACTTGTCCGAAAGATAAGTAAAGCAAATTAAGTGTGGACTTTCACTAGAAGCTAAAATAACCAAACAAAGGGTACTGTACTACAGCAGCATCATAAGAGTATTGTGATCTCTAAAAGAACAGAGTTATATCCAAGTGCTGGATTTACAAGTGCAGCAATCAAGGAAGGTAGCAGGGAGAGGTGGCTGTTGATCGATCGTGCAGTTTGAGGTTTGGTTGCGAGGGGTGGGGGTAGCGCTCTGCTTGCGTGTCAAGGGAGAGGTCTCTGCGTGCCAGTTGTGGCACTTGTGCCGTAGGTTTGCCATCACTGGCCTAGACAGAGAAGGAGAAGCTGCCTGTTAACTAGAAGGTTTGGCTAGCTGGGACTCATTGATGTGAGAAGGAATTTCTAAGATCATAAAACACTCCTGGCCAAACTCTGTCCTGGTACCAGGCTAATTAGTGAGATCTGGTTTGACTTGAGAAGAAGGGAGGGAAAAAGAGTGAAGTTACTTCAGCAAAATATTCCCTTCTGTATGTTTCGGAGTGAGTTTGGCTGGTGGAATACACTCAAAAGGTCTGGAAAGGTGGAGAACATGTTCAGTTTAACTTAGTTTCTCTGTGGAGAATGCTATGCTCACCTGCTGTTTTGCTGATTCATACTCTGCATATGCTCTGGAACTATGCTGAAGTAGTCTAGAATAGTTAGCTTTCTTATTTTCTGTGGTAACTGTTCTGGAACTGCCTTAGCCTAAAACCTTTTGGGATGTTTATTTGCTTTCTGACTGCCGTTGAACATTTTGGAACTAATTTTTGAAATTGCTTGCAACTATTTTTCTGAATTTTTGCAACATCTTTAATAAAATATTTAAAAAATCTGACCACTGTTTGGTTAACTCTGAGAAGAAGAGGGCTTGCTGGGACTAAAGAATTTGTACCTCATACCCCTAACTGGATCATGTACATTCTGTGAATATTTTGGTATTCCTATCTGGCAGTGTTGGAATGCAAGTTAAAGCGTGCAACCTTGTGAATTCTGGTTATTTTGCAACATCTTTAATAAAATATTTAAAAAATCTGACCACTGTTTGGTTAACTCTGAGAAGAAGAGGGCTTGCTGGGACTAAAGAATTTGTACCTCATACCCCTAACTGGATCATGTACATTCTGTGAATATTTTGGTATTCCTATCTGGCAGTGTTGGAATGCAAGTTAAAGCGTGCAACCTTGTGAATTTTGATAATTCCCTGGAGCACTGGGAATTGTGGTGACACAAGAGCATTGGGAGTGGAGCCGTCTCGAAGATTTTCCCAGCCATCCGCATGTTGATACACCCGACCTAACACCCAGAGCTTCTCCACACTAGGAAAGTCTGGGTAGTGTTTGTGAGGTCCTCTCTGTCTCTGCCATAATGTTGACACTTCATTTCCTTTCCACGGGTATCCTATACGAAGCACTTACTGAGCTGGACATTCCACTTATACACTCTTGGGGAAACATTCTGATGATTCTTCTCCCTTTGCTTGTCTTTATCCCCATCTTTGATATTTGGAGATGCTACTCTTGCAGGCGATCTAGTCAGCTTCTGTGGCTTGGACACACCCATGTGTTTGACTGGAGTACATTTGCTGGAACTGTCTAGGGCAGGAAGATCCTCACTATCACTACTTTGACCTGAAACAAGACAATGTTTTGGGTTAGCCTGTGCACACAGCCAGCATATTAAATGGTAAGAAATATCGAGATCAGAGCATCCATACCCCCCACGCACATATATTAGATGGCCTTTATACAGCCATGTTTAACTGTGCTTCACTTACATGATTTCAAAAGCTTACAGCAGTACTGCAAGACAAGTCAATCTTGTCCCCATACTGTGCAAGTGACTTTAAGAACTAAGAGAAGCTAAAAGAATAGTTGGTTCCTCATATGCTTTCTGTCTTTTTTACCTACATAAATGTTAGCATTTATTTGTCCTCAGTGTGGAAGGGATGGTCACTGTCGAATTGGCCTCCTCAGCCACACTTAGACGTTGTTCCAAGTCCTTCATACAGAGCACGTTACCATAGTCTCTCGAGACTGAAGGATGCCTAATCAAACGTCAGCAACCAAAAGCACATGAATTGCAGACAGCAGTTCAAGCTC